TTAAAAAAAAGAAAAAAAAGGAAAGAAAAAAAAGGAAAGAAAAAAAAAAGGAAAGAAATTAAAAAAAGGAAAGAAATTAAAAAAAGGAAAGAAATACAAAAAAAAAGGAAAAAAATACGAAAAAAAGAAAGAAATACGAAAAAAAAGAAAGAAATACGAAAAAAAAGAAAGAAATACGAAAAAAAAGAAAGAACTACGAAAAAAACAGGAAAGAAATAAGAAAAAACAAGAAAGAAATAAGAAAAAACAGGAAAGAAATACGAAAAAAACAGGAAAGAAATAAGAAAAAACAAGAAAGAAATAAGAAAAAACAGGAAAGAAATACGAAAAAAACAGGAAAGAAATAAGAAAAAACAGGAAAGAAATAAGAAAAAACAGGAAAGAAATAAGAAAAAACAGGAAAGAAATAAAAAAAAACTATATTTACATATTATACAATTGCTATTTCATTTGTCATTTCAACAAAAATTCTACAGAATTTAAGAGCAAAAATGCAGTGCATGCTTCTAAAAGTAAATAACAAGTGGTTGGTCAAATATGACTTTGTACAGAAAGGTGCAAAGGAGGTAATAAAATCAGTACTTGATAGAAACAAAGGAAGGGTGGTGATCAAATATTGACAACCAGAAAGAGCAGTGATTGTGTTGAAGATGCAAAAAAAAAAAAAAAAAAAAAAAAAAAAATTAGAAAACAAAAAAATACAACACAGAGGAAGGAAAGCAGGAAGCATCAACTCACCATAATGGGGCCCCTCTGTTGATTAACGATCCCCACAAGCTTGTCTGAACGACACGGCACCCTCACCTAAGGAGGTAGGAAATAAAGGAGCAAGACCATAAGTTACAGGCAGACAAGCCTCACAAAGAAATAAAAGAACCATAGGAAAGGAAGAAAAACAAACTGGGCGTGATAAAGAAAAAAAAGTGTGTGTGGGTGGGGAGAGGGAGACAAAAGGAAAGAGAACTGAAAGCTGAATTGTACCAAAATGTCTGGATTTAAGAAATTTTTGAGTCATTTCTTATATATGATTGTTTCTTATTTTTATAAGCAAAGGAAAAAATCAAAAAACTTATGATTACACCAAATATACAGCAGAAAATTAGATCAGTTGGATGGATGATTTTATTTAGTGGTATATCAAAACCTCTATGGGTTATTTAATGCCAAAAAATTTAATGCAATTTTATGCTTTCAACTATTGATATTTTATACATAATCTTATACTTTCAGGGCAAATGTATATTTTTTTAGATATATAAATTTGCTGACGATAAAATGTATTGTTGGTAATTAAAAAAAAATAAATAAAAAATAATGTATTGCTGGTATTTTTACTATAAAAAAAAATTTGATTCTTGTTTGGCCGTTCACTATTTGCTCATAGATGGGACACTAACAGATGCTACCACACAACAAAAATTAGAATAACTGCTTAAATAGACAGAGATTGAAATAGAGTAAAAAGTTTTAAATTTAGAATATTAAACACATCTATTTTGTAGGTGGACAGTTTGATGATTGATTTTCTGGTGATTGATATGGGTCAGAATTCTGTTGAATAATTAACCAATAAAAAAGCTTATTATAGAGTTAAAGACAGAAAAACCACCGCAGCACATGACATGAAGGAAACTAAACTACAAAAGCCAAATACTGCTAACATCTAATATTAAAATGTGTGTTTAAGTAAATCAAACTATTCTATATAAAAAAAAGTAGAGGCATTGTATTTTCAGTTTTAAATGCTTAACGTTACACTTTCACATTACAAAAAGTTTTAAAACAATATTTGCAAGAAGTAGAAAAAATACCTTTGTATCAAATGATTCTCTGGTACAACATAAGACATTGAGACTAGGGAAGAAGATTAAATTCTTTAAACTAATTTTATACACAAGTAACAATCTTCAAAGAGGAATTGCCATGTAAATTTCAAAAACAGATACATTGGTGATTAAACTTAACCAAACTTGTTAATCCCAATTATTTTATTTCTAATTTTTTAAAATTTGTTAGAAGAAAAAAAAATTCCTGCCAAAACTTTCAGTTGTGAAGAATTTTTTAAGTTTTGAAAACACAATTTAGAACATTTCTTTAAGAATTAAAATGTAAAAAATGTTGTTTCGATTATTTACAAGAGTAAAGATTTATATTATATTCATATGAATGAAGATAATCAGTTGAGCAACTATTTTTATTTTTTTATTCCCCTAATGTTTCATATATAAATAAAAAGGGACAAGAGAAAAAAAAAACTATTGTTAGCCAATACATTTCATCTGGGGTACCTTATCAAGGCAATGTAGAATTTATTTTGCTGCACATGTTTTCTATACAAAGGTGAGGATGTCATTGGTTTATCAAGGCTTTTAAATTTGACAACGTTCATGACTATTCATCAGGTGGTTGAAAGGTCAATCAAAGCACGTGTAGGACCTTTAAACCACATGATGAACATTCATAAACATTCTCAAGTTTAAAACCTTGATAAATCAATGACTTCCTTCACCTTTGTATACAAACATATGCAACAAAATAAATCCTATATTGCCTTGATAAAGTCCCTTGGAGGCCAAACTGCATCAGATAACAATAGTTTTTACTCTTGTCTCCTTTGACTTTGTAAAATACTTTTTTTTTTTTCTTTTTAATCTACACATGAGATCAGGTCAAAATTTTTAAATTTTCTTCGAGTATTTTATGATTGGTACAATCAAGAGAAGCAGGGTGGAAAATATAAGCATAGATGAAGAAAACAAGAAAAAAAAAAATATCAATTTTTTTTTTTTTTTTATAAATTTCAGAATAGCAAGAATACCAAAGCAAAGGAAATATTTTTTGAGTTTACGAATAAAAAAGTGCAATGGAAGAAAGGTGAACAAATGACAATATTAAGTAGGTGTACAAAGAAATAAAAACAACTGCAACTTATTTTTTTACAATAATCTAGAGAATAGATAAAAAATATGTGATATCTACTGTTTAAAATGAATTTAAAGAAAAAAAAAAAAAAAAAAAAAAAATGAAGAATAGTAACTGATTTTGAGAATATATTAGTTGTCATAAAAGAAATGTCTTCTAAATAAACAGCAAAAAGTTTTTAGAATTCAAGTTAAATGTCTCCAGCCGACAATGAAAAAAAAAAAAAACGAAACAAACTTTAGGGTGCCTAAGATTTGTGCAGTTCTCTCCCTTTTATAACAATCATCAAAGTTGGTTTCGCCAAAGAAAAAAAAAAAACTGACTGCTCAATTCTGCTTGATGCTATAAAACTAAAATGCAATACAAAAAACTCCAAACTTACAGTAACATTTGCAATAACAAAATAAACCGAGATACTTTATATTCAATTACAAAAACCATTTACCAGTAGGCAGTAAATTAAGAATATGCAAACAAAGAAAAAAGTGAATTTATATTGATAGACTTAATCATACAAAGGAGATGTGAAAAATTTCAGCCCAACCAATCTGACTACATTTCAGAATTTTGTGGGAAGAGCTTTTTGGTTAGGCAGAGATCTTTTCAAAATTCACCAAGGTAAAAGTTAAGACATTCAGATTATAAAAAAAAAAAATATACAGATAAGTTTTAAGGGAAGTAAATCTGGAAACATCAATCAACAAGTATTTTCTGCAATATAAAACTGCAGTATATTAGATGAAATAGCTGACAGTATAGAAAAGTCACTTTCTCTCCATCCATCAGCAAACATCTTTGTTTTTGGTGACTTTAATGCTCACACATGGCTGAAACATTTTAAGGGCACTGATGTTGCCAGTATACAGACATTAAATTTTTCCATTGGCCAATCCCTCACTCAAGTCATGGACTTCACTACTTGTATCCCTAGCCAAACCAAGCAACAGGTTTCTCTACTGGATCTATTTCTTACCTCCTGTCCTCCTCCTTGTCAAGTTTCGCAATACTGCCCATGAGGTAATTTGGATCATTCTGTGGTAGCTATTGATAACTCCATCCTGGAGTCCCCTATCTATAAGACCTCTTTCTGTCACCAGCATGCTGATTGGGACTCATTCTGGGATTTTCTTTGTGAAACTCCTTGGACCAATTGAAAATTGCACCACTGAGGTTTCTTCTTGAGCCAAAGCTCACTTTCATCCCTTCTCGGAAATACCAAGTGAAACCGCAATCCTCTCCATGGTTTACACCAGCATGCTCAGCTGTCATAGTACACAGGAACCATTATTTTCAGTTATACTAGCATGACAGGCCCCTATTATGATGAGAGCTATTTCCTACTGACCGTAACAAGTGTAAAAGAGTCATCAAAAGAGCTAAGTTCCTGTTTGCTGAGAGAATGACGCACTGCAGAACCTCTAAAAACTTTGGCTCTCACGATTACTGGCATCTCTGTAATAGGATACTAAATAAATGCAAGGTCTATTCCCCCTCTTCAATTGATTTGAGGTGTTATCCTCCTCTGCTGATAAAGCTGAATGCTTTGCCCGTAAATTCTCTTCAAACTCTACTCTCGACTTATCTAGAATATCCTTGACTGACTTCCCACTTGGAACTGAGTTTCTGTTGAGTGATATACATATAACTCCTCCTATGGTTTCTGCTATCATCTTTAACCTGGATCCTCACAAAGCATGTGGACCTGATGGTATCCCCATAACATTCATTAAGAAGTGTTCTCCTGAACTGGCTCCTGTTCTCTCTAAACTGTATAATAAATGCCTCAGTGCCTCCCGCTTTCCGGCCTGCTGGAAGTCATTGTCTGTTGTTCCAGATTTTAAGAATCATTTTAAGTCCAACCCATCCAACTGTCGGCCTATTAGCCTTCTATCTTTTTTTCGGGGGGTGGGGTGAAGCTTCTAGAGGCCCTAATTAATGCTGAATTGGTTCACCATCTCTCATTGTAGGGCCTTTTCTCAGACAAGCAATAGGGTTTTCGTTTCTTCAGGTCAACTCTTGATGCACTAACAATAATTGCGGAATGTGTCTATCATGCTCAAGATAAAAATGGTGAAGCCCAGGCATTGGGCATCTTGAAAGCCTTTGACAGGATCTGGCATTCAGGACTTCTCCACAAGCTGAAAATTTACAGTATCTCCAGGCACAATTTTGAGCTGATCCAGTCATTCTTATCAAATCGTGAAATGAAAATTGTCCGGAATGGCCTTTCGTACTAACATGGATGTCACTCCATCCTTGATCCTATGCTGTTTTTAATCTTAAAAACCTTTCCGATGACACCAGCCCTCAACTTGGCATCTACAATGACGACACTACCATTTACTCCTGCTTCAATGGTAATGCTGATCAGTCTGACAAGGTCAAAATGGCAGCTGGGGTTCAAAACAACCTCAAGACCATCATTAACTGGGGCAAAAGATGGCTTGTCAATTTTAATGCCTCCAAAACTAAATTTCTCTCCATTAATCATCTGATAGCCTCATCTCTGCCTTCCATTATCATGGCTGATATCCCCCAGGAAAGTGACTTCTTGTGCTTTCTCGGGCTAATGTTCTCAGTTGACATGAAGTGGAAAGACTATATTGAATCCATTGTAAGGTCAGCTGCTAAGAAAGCTGGTTCACTGCAGGATAAGACAATTTTCCTTTCCAGAATCTATCTTGCATATTTATAAGTCTACCATTCATTCATACTTAGAATATTGCTGCCATATATGGTTTGGTGACCCTGCTGTTTACCTGGGGTCCCTTGATAAGATCCATAGAAGAATCAGCAATATTATTGGTCCTGACCTGGTGCCTCAGCTTCAATCACTTGCCCACTGCTGTAACACTGACTGTGCCTTTTTTTTATAAATACTTTCATGATAATTGTTTGGATGAGCTCTTTGTTATGGTACCTAGACTGTATGAACTTAAGCACAGTACTAGACTGGCAGCAAGATTGCATCAATTTACAGTTGAGCTGGCTAGATGTTGCTGTAACTTCTATGCTGAGTTTCTTTTCTCACAATTCTCGTCTGTGGAACTCCCATCTGGCTCCATGCTTTCCAACCAACTTTAATCTGCAAAAATTTAAATGCAATGTCAATCACTATCTACTGTCCTCCACACTCTGTAAAAACTTGCTTGTTAGTGGCTTTACGGCTTTACTTTGGGTGATACTAATTTAAAAAAAATATATTAAAATGAGTTGTCATCATTCCAAGAGTAGTTCAGTTTACTGAACTTGTTCTTTGTTATTACCATAACATTTTGGCTGATCCAGTCTAAGGCCTTCTTTAGGTGAACAATCTGTATGGAAACAAGCGGTAATCTGTTTTTTACCTTGTTAGTAAAACAAAGGCAATTACCCTGATTACACCAAACTCATTCACAGTATATATGTGTGTGTGTGTGTGTGTGTATAGGGGGGCAGAAATACCACAAATGTGTGTGGTCACAGTTTGTATCAAAAATGTTCAGCTTTAAATTTTGATGTCCAATGCATATAGATGTTTAAGTTAGCCCCCACCCCACTTTCACATAAAAGTGTTTTAGAGCAGTAATCCTTCTTTTATACAAGTTTCATTAAAAACAACTGACAAAGTACTGCAGATAAGTATGTTTTTTATTTAATTTTTCTTGTGTTCTTATAATTTTCTTCTTTTCTTGACATAAATTACATAGAAATTGCCCAAATTTTCTGCATATCCAAGCACTTTTGGTTATATTATTAGCTTTTATCAAGAATGATTTTATTTTTAATTTTAACAGAATGTATAGATTGTTTTATATGTGTATCTAGAGTTATAAGTATGTTTTTATTTTCCAAACATGGTCAGCACATTGTGGCCATGTTCATAGTTGATATTATTGAGTGTTGGTTTTTTGTTCTTTTATTAATAATGTTTCCATTATTTTTAGCCTTCTTTTGACATGTGGATGAGGCTATTATATCTGTATAATTAATGAGTATGTTGCAGATGGAGTTTGGTAGGCTTCCAAACGTATTTAAACGAGTCCTAATTGAGTTATGGTCAGAGACATGTAACAGTAGTATTCTTGTCAGGCATGTAGTATATCCAATATAATTATTTATCAATTTGGATTCGTCAGGAACACAGTTCTTTAAGAGAATCCGTAAATAATATTGGTTCTCTGTAAATTGGATCTTGCAGGTGAATTATTGTTGACAATGAGTTTAGTAGTTTTAAATTTTTTATAGTAGACAATTTAATTTTCTTGTTTTTGTCAATTGGAGTTGTACATTTCTTTATAATGTTTTTAAGAGTGGATTCCTCCTGCTTATAGTTACCATGATCATAATTTTAATAGAAAATGTCAATGTTATTGCTTTTATCTGTATGTTCAGTGTTGCTATATATTGTCACTTTGTGCTAGCATGAGCATTGGCCTTGGGACAGTTCTGTCTCCCCAATTTCACTCACAAGGCTTAAGTCAACCTGTAGTGTGGTTTTCAGGCACTTTCCAAAAGTGCTGTATGCTGAAAATAAATCACCCTTCCTGAGAAATCGACGATGTTGAGATTTGAAGCCTGGTCCCAACATGGCCAGAAGACAAACATTCTAATTACTCAGCATGTGCCCATATATATATATATATATATATATATATATATTTTTGTAGAATGTTGAATAGTATCCAAACAAAAGTGGAGATATCAAGGCAAAGTGGTATAATTTATACAGACAACGCAATTCGCCTGTGCATGGTATGCGTCTTCAGATTGGAATCAAAGACAAATCTGTTTGTTAAGTTCACTGGAATTTTCTTTTTTTGAGGAAGGGGTAATAAATAGCCTTATCAAATACTATGACCAGATAGTGGATTTTTTTTTTGTATTGAAGCTGTTAGCATTTGTCAGATTTTAAATTAGCCCACACTTACTAGATCCCCACACAAGTGCACAAATGGATAAAAAAGATTGCAATCCAATCTTATTTTGTTAAGCAAAGAAATTCACATTAGCTTTACTACTCCATGAGGTAAACGTATCCAAGTACTTCAATTTTCTCAATCTCCATTGATACTCCCTGTCTATTACTTGGACATTATCCATGAGATAGCCATGGTTCCTTCTTCCTTGAAATATGTTCTGCTCAATCAGACTTCATCTTTGATTTTTCTAGGTTTCTTAAAATTGACTTTCAACAGTTGGTTACTTTCTCTCACAGGATGTTAGAAATGCAATCTTTTGTCATTCGCATTGCTTATGAGAGAACAATGTTAAATTGTAAAATGTCGCTGTGTAATGGAAAAAAAATCATCCTGATATTTTTAATGTCTACAAATCCTGCATTCAGTCAATCTTATACATAGTTGATTTAGTGAAGTTATTGTAGAGAAACTGTTTTTTTTTAACGCAGAGGGATGATTTGAACAGAAAGGTTCATGTGTTAAAGAAGAAGTCTTAATTAAAATGGAAACAAAAAGAACATTTAGAATTAGGAAGAGACAGCTGAAATTTCTTGGACATATGAGGAAGGAAAGCTTGGAAAATTTGACACTCATAGTACATACTGAGGTCAAGAGAGACAGCAGAAGCCAGCAGGTCATCTACTTGATAAGCTTGTGTGATTGGATGGATGGCAGAATGGGTGGTAGGAGGGATGGCAGAAATTATGAAGAGCTACAAGGGATAAGAAGTTGTGGATAGCCATGTTCGCCTGTGTATTAAAAGAACACAGCTCATAAAAGAGGATATACCCAGGTGCTAAAACTCATGTGTGTATGTGTGGAATATAATATGAACACACACAAAGAAAAAAAAGCATTCATTTGAAATTTTTTTTTCATTGTGAATTGCACAAATAGTCTAATCAAGTTCACATGACCCAACAGAACACTGACATTTCCAAGGTGGAACCATATTAAAAGAAGGTGGAATCTCATAAGCCTTTTTGGAATAACACCCAGGAGACAGCAAGCATGGTTAGATGAGAAGATTAGTCATATAGACAGTGTCAAAGCTGGGTGAGTGCAGATTATCTTGTTTAACAGAGAAAGGCTCCAAGATTAATAATACCAGGTACAAAAAATATGTAGAATTTCATTTGTTATATGTTGCAATGAATGGACTGATTGGTCTAATCAATATATTTCCCTTCTTCAGGCATACAATGTCTGCATTGTATGCCTGAAGAAGGCCTCAGAATAGATCAGCCAAAACATTGTGGCAATATCAAAAAGAATAAATTCAATCATCCAAACAACCCTACAAAATTATTTTAAATCAAAGAAAAAAAGAAATTTAAAAGGTTTGTATTTCTGAGATGAGGCATTGTAACTATTTACACAGGTCAAACAGTTGTCCTTATCTTTATTGCCATATTCACAACATTTCAGCCATTGTATGCTCCGGCCTTCTTCAGGTGATATACGTTGGAATTTTGAACTGAACCCCTTATTTAGTTCACATGTATTAAAAAGGTTCAGTCTGAAATTCTGAATGTATATCACCTGAAGAAGGCCGGAGCATACAATGGCTGAAATGTTGTGAATATAGCAATAAAGAAGAGGACAACATTCAGGACAGACTAGATAGTATTGTTTGGCAACAAGTCTACCACAGACTGAAATGGCAGCCTACTGTAGGAAAATCTGCTTAGTCAGTCATGAATTGAAAAAGACATGATTGCACAAGCATGTATCATGTATATCACTTAATGAATGATTCTTCAGGAACCAATATCTGATATGTAGGATGGCATTTAATTTGACAAAGTCTCCTTTGTCATAAAGCTACAGTTATGATGACCAAAGGTGTGATGCTAATTTGCTAGCTGGAGCCATTTTAGATTAATGGAGAAATTGTTGCAATACAAGCAGAAAGAATAGAGAAATTAACTGGAAAAAAATACAGAATAAATTCTGTAAGGGAGGAAGACAGAGAATTGAAGCTGGAGGAAAAAAAAAAAACAAAAAAAAACCAAACAGCCCCTGATAAACAAAAACAAAAGACCCCCAAAAACCAAAAAGAAAACCAATCAAAACAAAACAAAAAACAAAATAAAAACAAAACACCTCACCTGTAAGACTGTTCCAAATATAGGCAAATTTAGTGTTTCCCCTGGTGTAGGCGGTGGCCACTGGTCGATATCATGACATGCTGGAAAAAGTAGAAATACAAGAGAATAAATTACAAGTTGTTCATATCAAAATCAAACAAGTACAACAATATCTGGGAAGTGTTTTAACACAGAACAGAAAGTTGCTCATATCCAAAAGTGCATTGGGATAGTGAAAAATACCTTCCAAAAGCTAAGCAAAATATTAAGAAACAGGAAAATTTTTTTAGAAACAAAGAAAAGTGTGCTGAATGATTACGTAATATCAATCCTCTTGTATGAGAGTGAATGCTGGACAATCTCCTCACAGATGAAGAGACTTGAAGCAACAGAAATGTACAGGAGGATGCTTAGAATACCATGGACTGTTTTAGAGAAAAATTGACATTTTTACTTTTGCTTACAAATACTTGTTGCAAAATAAAATCCTTACATTTGCCTTGATAAAGTCCATCAGAGGACAAAACGTGCCAGCTAAGTTTTCCTTTTGTCTTTATTCACTTTTGTCCTGTTTGAGATATATATTTTAGTTATATCTTAAATTTTATATAGATATAACTCAATACCTACAAATACTTTATTTTGTTCTGTAACATCACAAATTCTCATGGCACAATAAAAATTATTAATCTGTAATAAATATGACATTGTCCAACTAATATTCAAGAAGTATTAAGAAACAGCAAAACGTTTTTTGATGTAATTGATTAAATTTACAATGTAATTGAAAACTATTTAAATATTGCTGACCTTTTTTGATTATATGGAGAAACTAATCTATTTATAATTACCATATTTTACAGTATATAAGATGCACGGGTGTATAAGACACACCCCAATTTCAGCAGGGAAACATCAAGAAAAAATTAGCAAATAGCAAAATTATTAGTAAATGGTAGAGCTTAGGCTATATTTAGGAGGTATTATTTTGGTTAAAGAAGTCATGATTACAAATAAATGAAAAATAATAGGAAAAAATAACATGAGCCTATAAAAACGTTATTATATTCAAAGGTAAGAAAACAAAATAAAAATCAAGCAATTATTACAATTGAGCAAAACAGTACAGTTCCCATTAAAATTTTATTCATCTTCAAATCCATAAAATTTATTGTCTTCTTTATCAAAACTGATACTCATTTTCAATACTACTATCATGGTTGTTAAATAATGCATCATCTTCCGTTCCATTGAGAGCTTTGCTAATGCCACAGTTTTTGAAAGATTTCAGAACAATTTCTGGTCTAATATAATCCCAAGCTTGGTTCACCTATTCAGACTTGTGCAATGCTGGGTCTTTTTATTCTTCCTATAAGTGTAAGGTCGTGTGATCAGGCATTGCCATCCACGTATTCCATTACTCCTTCATGTTTAAGTCTAAGTTATTAAAAGTTTATTTCATCCAGCTATCGTGAATTTTAAACCTATGTATGGCATATAAGATGAGGGAATTTTAAAAGATATTTTAGTAAAAAAAGAAAAGAAAAAGTGCACCTCATATGCCATCAACTATGGTACTTTCATATTTTTCAATAAGCTGTTGCAGACAAGTATTGATGTTTGTGGTTAGTGTTTAAGGAGTTATACTCCAAATTGGTTAAAGTGTTTGGCTTTGGATATTACTGTCATGGAATGAATCTTCCCATGCTGATATAAATATTAATGGATCCATGGGTAGTAAGTTAACTTAATACTGTGTGTTCAGCAGCATGCAGGAACACTGAGTTTCAATACATGTTAAATTAGTTCTTTTTCTGCCAGTAAACATTAACAGGACTGTCTGCAACTAATGTGACAATTTTTGCATAAATGCATTAGGAAGGAGAGAAAAAAAAAACTTAAAAAGTTCTGTTTAAATTTGATCCTAAAGAGCAAGGCATTTATGCTTTTAATAACCACTCATTGTGGACAGTCTCTTTCCAGACTGTTGAGTAAGTGGGCATGGTTAAACATAATTAGCAAAATCATAAGAATATATATATATATATATATATATATATATATATATATATATATATATTTTCTGTTTATGCCTTATTTTTTATGGATACACTTATTTGAGTAAATGCTCTGTTCTTTTAATTAAACAGTATTAATTACATTTACTGGACTGAATGTTTGAGAAATTTCGTACAAAATATAGCATTAAGCCCAGTGTACTATAACCATTCAGCCAGAGAACTTCCGGTTAAGCAAAGCTCAAATTACTGCATATTTTCTACAAAATTTCTCAAACATTCAGGCTGGTAAATGTAATTAATACTGTCTAATTAAAACAACAGAGCACTTACTCAAGTAAGTGTATCCATAAAAAATAATATATAAACAGAAAATATAATAAATATTTGTCAGATTTAATCCATTTCCTATTATATATATATATATATAATCCTTGTTTTGTGAGCTTTATTTGACACATTGGTTTAAATTTAACCTTCCAATCTCCGCCTTTCCTTACCCATTATATTAACTCTTTTTTCTATTCTCTCTTCATGATTTAAGCCCCCAAAGAAAACTTTTCTAGGTCAATTTATTTTTGCTATTGTTTCATCTTTTATTTTATTTTATTTTTTTGTATTTTTTCATTTCTAATTTTTTTATCTTTGTATATCTGCCTGTCTGGGATATCTTGATTCAATTTCATAAAATGTGATCAGTCTGATGAGATGAGTATGCTTATATTCATCTAAATAAGTTTATTACTGATGAAGTTTTTAAGGTCTTTCCCTAATTATTATTATTATAATTTGCTCTATATCATACATTGAGCTCTCATATAGACTGAAGAGCCCCCCCCCTCTTTAGAATAATCCCTACCAATTACAATTTGGTATTGTTATTTTTATTATAATATATATATATATATATATATATATATATATATATATACACACACTTTATTTTCTGGTTTTTAGATGCACTTTTTTCCTGAAAAATATGTATGCAGCTTCCAAGACGAATGTAAGGCAATGGCCAGGTTCAAGTAATCTTGGACGGTCACCTAATTGACTTGACTGATAGGGACGTGGATTTGTATGTTGAGTCATTACACTATAATGTTAGCTATCTAATTCAGCCTTTTATATGATGTGACCTCAGTACTTTGCTGTTACAAGCATTTCTAAGACTATAAACCTTCCTGGAGCCAAGCCACAAGCTTAAACATGTTCTATTTACTAGCAGCAGTGGGAACCTTTCTGCTCTTGACTAGTATGTCATTGCCATACAAACAAAATCGGATGAGTGATTAATGTAAACAATACTTGGCGCCAGTATGTGAGGGACACACGGTGAATATGTTGTATGAGAATTACTTTTTTTTTCTTTTTTTAGAAATTTCTTTCCAATATTAGGGTGCGTCTTTCAAGTCACAGTATCTTGTAAGTCAGAAAGTATGGTATGTGTGTGTATATATATATATATATATATATATATATCCGTTGGTATATAATTCAAGTGAATCCTATTAATAAAATTAGATATTAAAACTGATTCACACAGAGCTCAATGTTTTAATTAAACAGAGCAACATATTTTTTATACAATAGGAATTAAGATTATATTAAGTTAATGATCATTTTCAACTTATAAATTGAAATAAAATTTACAAGGATTTTTCAAGCCAGTCAATGGATGATAAATTATTGATATAATTATTATATATAATAATTCAGATATAAGTAAAAATATATCTGTAAAATAATGATATATTTCTACTTCTGTTTATAAATACTTATCACAAAATAAGATCTTCATATTTGCCTTGATAAATTCCATCAGAGAATGAAACACCTTAGTAAAGAAAAGTTTTCCTTTTTTTTTTATTCATATGAACATATAATGCAAGTCAAAAGTAAAGCAACTTCAAGACAGTAATAAAGCAAAAAAGTTCATAGCCTTCCGACCTCAAGGCAAGAAAAAACAAAAAATGTTGGGGTAAGATTGAAAATTGTCAATGTTTTTATTAGTTGGTAGAAAACCCAGCATGCAACTGTAGGACTTGTCTATAAATTTGGAGAGAGGAGGTTTTTAGCTGACGATTGTAACCAACACAATTTGCAATCAAACGTCAGCAAGTCAGAAATCTAGTCGGAAATATAAAAACCAGAGATGAAAGAATACTTTCCCCCCGCTCCATCATGAACTGAAGAGGTTTATTGATCAAGTGATTTTATGATTTAATACATTATTAATCACTGCATCAAACTTTTTCATGGCTCATTGACAGATAAAAAGCTTCCTGATAGAAAGAAATGTTTTAGAATATTTTGTTTTGTTTTTTTTTCATTGTTTAAATAGTGAAATGTTGTATGTGTGTTGTGAATGAAAGTGTGTTGAGACTCAAAAAAGTATTAAAACAATTACTTATTATACTTAAAATTACTGAAACTTATCAGAAGTTTTTTTTGAAATTAAATATATCCTTTTATTAAAGGATTTTATATAAAATATATCTCTCCCATAAAAACACACACATTTTATATATAGGACAGATAGAGAGACAAGAATTAGCAGAATGGTGGATATTGACCTTTCATTTGCCAGTCTTTTGCTCTAGCAACAGGTTTGTGCTTACAAAGAAAATGTTAGTGGAAGTGGTACTGTGAATTCTTTCAGAAAGAACAGTTTTCAACTTAAATATACATATAAAGCGGTTTCAGTTGGGATTTAGATGAGTTGCATTTTGATAGGGGAGGAGTAAGACTGACTTGACCCTTAACCTATTAAAAAAAAATTTTTGATACACAGAAATTTTTAACTACACATACCTGCCTCAACACTGGGCTCTCCACTGTCAAAATATTCAGGAGCAATGATCCGCACGAGTTGTGAAAATAAGTTTGGGAATGGAAGTTTTGAAATTAGCACCACAGACTGAAAAAAGAAAAAATAAATAAAAAAAATGAAAAGGACAGAGGTCAAGCATAGACAGAGAGGTTAATCTTACTAAAACAAAAAATGTACCGCAGATGCTGTTAAAAAAAAAAAAAAAAAAAAAAAAAAAAAAAAAAAAAAAAAAAAAAAGGAAAAAAAAAGGAGAATAAACATGATAAAAAATATCTGCATGGTTATTAATAAGGTTCTAATACAATAATGCCGATTCTGGTATTAAATTTTGGAAAATATTGCCATATAGGATTATGTCCTTAAGGGGTGAATACAAATTGCTTTGCATTGTATCCTCTTGTCTTTCATCTGTGGTTTTCTTTAGTGTGGACATAGGAATCAATACAGCATGATGACGTATTTTTTACATCCAAAGACTGCATACTATATCTATAGACACTCCATTTCCAGTATTTAGTCCCCACTCCATAAATACAGCAAATTTAAAAACTATCTATATGAGAGAGAGAGAGAGAGAACCTGTTCATTTATTGTACTTTCTCCTCACTTTTCTCTAAAGTCTTATTCTTTTTCACTTGCAGTAACTTCTTACATCCTTGTGGCATTATTGCCTTGCTTGTGGTGAAATGATTAAAAATTCAAATGTTTTGAAATAAAGAACAAACTCAACATAAATTATTTAAATATATATATATATATATATATATATATATATTGAAAAATTTCCTGTTAAAAAAAAAAAAAGAAAAAAAGAAGTCATCTGTTGAGTATAATAAATGCTATTAGCATTTTCTTTTTCTAAGTTTTCTATATGTTGTGTCCCTTTAGGAGGTGGGCAATCATGGCTCTCCACAACTTTCTGTCCTTTGTAGCTCTTAATCAGATTTGTCTTCTTGCTATCCCTAACCCTCTTACTCTCTGTTCTGCTGACCATTTACATAAGGTTGTTAGGGGGGCACCTCTAGGCAGTGTAATGGTTAGCAAGCTTGTCTCGCTAGAACAATTACAACTGAGTAGTGAGTTCAATCCTCACTGGGTGCCCCCTACTTTCGGCCTTGTGCCACATCTAAGCTACGCTTGGAAAATCACTACATAAGGTTGTTAGGTAGGTTATTTGCTATGTTCCTCTAGCCCTCAATGCCCTATGAGTATCAAATTTTCCAAGTCCTCTTTCCTTATTACATTCCCTAAAAATCTCAACTGTTTCTTTCTGATATAAGCATCCATTTTGTTTTTTTTCATTAAAATGTCTTGTGATTCACATTTCAGTCCATTCTTTTCACAGCATCCTTCAACAGAATCACATATCTCTTACCTTATTGTGCCTATTTTTTCAAATACTTTACACAAATGTCGCAAATCTTAGAGAAAACAGCAAATTGTAATGCAGCTGAACTGAATATTCAAAAGTATGTGACAAGAGATAGTGAGTAGAGTTGCTAATAGCATTTATTGAATGATTTATTTTTGACTGTTTATCAGCAACAAAACTAATGTATGTTTCAAACAAAATAAATAATAATCACCTGAGAAGGTTGGAAAATAGGCTGATCAAAATAATGTAAAACAATTAAAGCAAATACAACCTTAGAGAAATCTATTGCAATATCAACAATATACACGGATCAGAATCTGACAGAATGATAAAATAAAGAACAAATAGGAAATGTATATCAATCTAAACACGTTTCACTTTTATTAAAGCTTCATAAGAGATAAAGAGAAAAATGGACAAAAAGACAGCACTTTGGTATTTTCAATTTTGTCATGTATCATGTGCATTAAAACTAGATAATTCTATATGTATATAAGATTGTAAAAAATATAACGTGTATAAGAGGGCATCGGATGGTAATGTGTATTTGTAATTGTGTATGCCTCGAAGAAGTTCTAATGTCTTCACTTTTGTACAATCATCCAGCACAGTGGCGTTGTACTCAACTTTAATCTGGGACTGTTTTTTTTTTTATGCACATACTCTTTGTATTAAATAGATATAAATTAGATACATGGATATATAAAATCAGACCAGCTTCATTATTATCTGCCCCTAGCCACCACTGGCATTTTGTTTTACTATGTTTTATACCTATGATTGTATTTCTTTTAGTCTCAAATAGCATTTTTCTATAGAACTGTCTCTTTACTTGATTGTTCAATACAATTACAGTTCTCAGATGGACATACTAAGATTCTTTTTCAAAGATGGTATCAAACTCAACTCTGCAATTCTAACACATTCAAAAGGATCAAAACAGATTGAAAATTATTTCCTCTTTTTAAAACTTTATATGAGTACATTAGCACTAAGTGTGTATCTACCTATACAAACAAATTCACTTGCTGTTGCTATGACATTAACTCAATAAGCAGTGTCCATTACCTATTAAGAAAGTACAGTGGAGAGAGAAAAAATAGGTTTTCATATTTTGCAGTCAGTCGTTTGCTGAAGCAACTTTAACTCTCTTTGGGAACTAATGATTTCATGCGGGATTGAAATACTGCCAAAATGACTTATTCAAAATTAACCATACTCCCTTTCTTCCTATATATCCTGACAAGATTGCATAGAGGCTTACTGGCAGGAGAACAAAGCAGAATTTTAAGAGGTATTTGCAAAAAAAACCCCAAAAAAACATAAAACATCAGCAGTTGCCAATGAGAATTCAGAACAAATGAATTAGTTCCACATTCTAATGTCCTATTACATGCATTAATTGTAAAAAGGTTCCCATGTTACAGTCAATGTTTTAGGGATGGAGATGAAGAGAAATGTGAATTAATGTTGTTTTATAGCATACAGATCATCATACAATTGTTATACAGTACCGAGTTAGATTCTGTGACTTTAATCACATGCCTAAATTTTTTTTTTTTTAATCAACAAGTACTTGTAGAATTTCAATTGTGTTTACTTGTAAATAGAATAAAAAATAATATATTTTAAGAGAAAAATCAATATAGCTTAATGGCTAACAAGTTTGCATCTCAAACCAATTCATGAACAGAGAGAGTTCATCTAGCAATGGACGTCTGGCAATGACCTTGTGCCAGAAGTCAAGTAAAGACCAACATGGTATCTACCATTGCATAATGCTAATCAAACTAATCTCAAACTCAATACTAGTAATACAATATGTACTGAGAAACCTACTACTGTGGCTTTGTGCCAGCATAATGTACAATTAGGAAATAGCTACTGTAAGCTTGTTTTGAAGTGTGACACATATATATATATATATATATATATATATATATATATATGCACACACAGTATATTTCTGTGTATAACATGATCTTGTTATAAGCATTAACTTCCCTTGTTTTGAACTCTTCTGGAATTATCCACCTTTTGCTGTACTATATATATATATATATATATATATATATATATATACATATATATATACACACACAAACACACTTTCTACTGGTATTCTTTCAAATTGGGCAAATTATACCAGTTTTGTCATATTCCATTTGGGGCCACTAACTTGGTATCTTGCTTCCAACACATAATGGACAACATTATTACAAAGAATAATTTGCATGGAACATATGCTTATGTAGATAACATAGTTGTAGCTGGCAAGACTCAAGAGGAGCATGATAAAAATCTCTCGGAATTTCTTGGAGGTAGCCAAACTACATAATCTTACTTTCAACAAAAAAAGAAAAAAAAAAATCTTATCAAACACAATTTTCTTGGCTGCACCATATCTCATGGGATACTTAAATCTGATGCTGACTGACTACGCCTTAAAAAATTACCTATCCCTGCACTGACTGTACCATTTGTGCAAGATGGAAACCACATTTCTACAAACCTGGAAAAGTTTGCCTGATTAAAGGCTACACAACTAATGGAAAGAATCTGCATAGATTTTAAGGGACCTCATCTTTCTAATTCACAGAACCGTCATATATTAACATTAATAAATGAGTTTCTTTTTGCATGCTCCAATATGACAACTAGAGTGGTAATTAAATCAAATTAAATCAAATTTTCACTGTGTTCGGGACTCCTTCCTACATCCACTCAAACTAGGGTTCCTTGTTTCTATCTAAGGAACTGCTTGAGTATTTCACTAATTTGGGTATAGCTAGAAGTTGAACAACCACTTACAACCCCAAAGGGAATGGTCAGTGTGAATGATAGTAAAATTTTCTGGAAGTCGTCACACTGGCCTTTTCTTTGAGAAATCTACAAGAACCTCAGTAGGAAGTTGTTCTCCCAGGAATACTGCATGCCATAAGATCTCTACTCTGTACCATGATGAACACTACACCACATGAAACAATATTTTCACATCAATGCTGGTCACCTAGTGGTCATTCCTTACCCACTTGGTTAGCAGCCACTGGTCCAGTCCTCTTATGTCAATGTCCATACTAATAAGGACAAACTTTTAGCCGATGAGTTTCAGCTGTTAAAAACCAATCCCAATAATATATACTCATGTAAGATTTAATGAAAGACAAGAGTCTACTATATCTGTACATGATTTGGCTCCAGTTCAGAACAAATACAATTGCAGAAAAAAAGCACGATTGAAGTGGAGGAACCAAAGTGTGATATTCATTCTAAACCATTGAGCAACCATGAAAAACATTTGTTGTTGCCCTCCAACTCTGAGAATCAACATTCTACTCTGATGCTTCTTTTATACATGTGTTCTTTGTATTCTAATTTGCTCTTAGCCCCCATCATGGGCCACTGTTTATTAAAGCCTTTGTCAAGGTACTTCTTTAGTTCTGTTCCTTATTACAACCTTTAGATGAGGTAAAAAAAAAAAAAAAAAAAAAAAAATACAGCAAATTTCCATGAATTTATCCTATACCTGTAGTATAAGATGACTGCTTATTGATTATATAAAGAGGTTATTGGAAATGTTACTTAGAAATTCAAAATAAACAAAATAACAAAACTGATTCCTATATCATGTTTTTCCTACACACGCCCCCTAAAAGGGGAAACTATTTTGTTTACATTTCATAATGGGATCTCTTGCAAGTACTGATTCTTC